GGGGAATGATAGGATGTTCTGGMACCCTTCGGTTTTCTCAGTAGCCATTGTATGGAGCAAGTAAGCTTTAGCCTTTGCTTCCAGGTAGGTTATGTGGTCCCATAGCTGTTAGCCTCCATTAAGCATCGTGTTTTGCTTGGCATTTGGGCAAAAATGGCAGTGAGGCATGCAGCAACTGTGCTAATTTAGAAATTGTAACCAGCTAGCATTTCAGGGTGAGCTTGAGTAGCTGTCAGCAGAGGAATTTAGTAGACCAGTGGTCGCTGTTGATGACTGTAGTGTTTTGTATTCTGTTAGGGCCTCCCAGGGTGTAGAACAAGAACCCTTCCTATGTGCAGTTCAAGAATCAAACCAAATAAAGAGAAAATTGAGTAACTTTGAATCCGTCGTTCAGAACAGCTTTAGATAGAAAAAAAATAAAACAGATCCGGGGGATATTTGTGGCTATATTTATAGCAGAGTGACATTGAAGGAAGAGAACTCATTTGCGGGAAGGATAGCTCTTTTTATGCCTTTTTAGAATCTCATTGTGTGCCAACATTATCTTTCATGGATGCCAGAGGGTGCAAAGCCTTCTAAAGCCTCTCACACATGCAAAAACTTTGTCCCCATTGTGGTTTCTTTGCTGGGTTCCATTTAGTGTTCCTGTGTTTCTGGCTCTCTCCAAAGATGCGTGTTACTCATGGGGAGACGATCCAAACTGGCATTGCATGTGTTTAACTTATATCTAAGATTGTGACCGCTTTGGGCAAAGGAAAGAAAGCGTTGTCCTACTTCGGAACCAGCGGAAAGAAGTAACTTAAGCTGCAGTTGGAAGAATGGGATTGTCCCCTTTTCTCTCTRCTGTTTACGTAGGCAGAAAACTGCATTACTGATAGCAAATCTTGAACTTGCCTGTGTGATGTTGGGAGGCTTTGAGAATGTTGGGGCTGGACTGTGAAATGCTGTGTGTAAATGGTTTTGTGTACAGCTACAAAATCTTTCCAAAGTCYTTCATTTCTTCTCTACRAAAAAAAAGTCTTTCATGACAAACCAGTATGTTTTCTGAAAAAGCTTCTTTCTTAATTAATTGTCAGTTCTCTTTCATGTTGAAGATGAAATAAATCAAAATTTATATGAATTTAAAACATCCAATTGCGAATAATATGCTAATTTAGAGGTAACTGAAAATTACTGCATTATAGTTCTAAAAGCTGATGAGTTAAAATGAAGTTGTTTAAAAATTTTGTTTATGCATTTTTTCARTAAATGTCATTTATTGCTTGCTGTTCAGATTTTAATTTTTCTGTAGGTTTCTTGTTTRTGCTCATTTCCATTACGTGGGTATTGTCATTTTATCTAGAAGAGAAATGGACCATGTGCACAGCAGGGCTAATGAGTCACAGATGTAAAGATTCTGGCACATTACTGTCTAATAACTTTTTAAACTTATATTCCATAATAAGATAAATGCAGATTTGATACATCTGTTTCCTAAATGATGTATCATTCCAGTCTTATCAGTGTCTCAGGAGTGAGTCCCGTTGTATGTTGTGAGTTTTAGCCTTTTTTGGTTTTGTTTTCTGTTTATTTGTTTGTAAAGAGGAGATTTCAGGTCACTGAGCAATGCAGTTAGCCGCACCACGGCTTATCCCAATGAAGTAGGAAGGCTATTTAGCCACTGACTTTATGGGATTGACTTACAGGGTCTCAGCTTCCTTATCTCAGGGATGTATAGCAGGAATAAATATGCTAAACACAGCTCCAGGATGTTAGTGAAGAATATGTATGCATCAGAAAGTTACCCTGTCTTTTTTGTAAAGACTGGCACAGTCTTTGTGATCCAGAGGATCACCTTCCCTTTGGGAGGTGCTGAGCTGCAGTGGTGCTCAGGGGCAGCCCCCAGGTGGGCTGTGCTACCAGCTCTGCCTCACAGAGGGGCCTTAGAGCTACCCAACTGTATTTTATGCTGTGTTCCTCAGCTTAATGTCTCTGCCATTGAACAAGCCTCTGCTTGTAACAATGTGCTGTGCTGCAGGCAAGGAGAGRGCTTAGGGATCTCCTTCTCTTTAGGAATTCACTGCTCAGCTGCAGAAGGTGTAATTCTTTATCAGAAGRTTTAATTCACACCCTACAAGGCAGCTCAAGAAAGGTGTTGAACTGAGAGCAAAATTCACCCCCTTGCATTGTGGCAGCAGGGCACAATTAGCACAGTCTTCCCTTTTCATACCCGTACAATATGAGTTCTGCACATATTGGTAGAGTAGAATGTGAGAAGCCATATGTGGCATACAGCACTKSAGGGGTAAAAATGGATGTGAAATGGATGTATGGCTTGAGAACTTTGACCCATGGCCATATGGACTAGACTTGACCCAAGATCTAGCAGTAGATTTGTGTTCAGTGTTTATAGCTKTGTATGTGCTACCAGTTTATGTGCTGAATGTCATATGTTAAACAGAATGTGAGGAGCAGGATATTAATTATGCAAATATTCAAAGTATACTGTCATTGGTGTCACATTCTGCAGCAATCCAGAATCAAGGCTTTCTGCATAGATCTCTTGAAGTGCTCTAGTACATTTTAAGTGAAAATGGCTCAGTCATCTGCTGGCTGATAATCTTAACAACTGTTGAATGATCATAACAATTTATTGTAATTTTAAGGAAAGACACCTTCATGAGATTGCTCCTTCTAAAATCTCTTTATGTTCTTATTATGATGTATCAGCTTGAATCTGCAGTATCTTGCAGACCTGACTCTGTTTGCCATATGACAGAGAGGCCGTTTCCTGTCAGTAGGCAGTGTGGGGTGTACTAAATGTAGTGTTTGTTCTGTTTGTCTGTTRGTAAATTGTCTCTGTGATGTTTGTGGTGTGCTGTTCTCGTACCATGTTGTGCTGTGTCCCTAGGGTCTGCCAGGCTTCCCCACAGTTGCTGCTCTGCACAGTAATCAGATCCTCACCGTCAAGGTTTGTGGCTGACGTGTACCTGTTCAGTCAGGTCTCTCTGTATCAGCATAAAAGTGCACATGAAAAATTGTTTTTCAATGGACCTAAGTCAACCCTCGCTGCCTTTGCATTGGTGTAACACAATCTCCTGCATCTCCTGATGCAGAGTGTGGAATCAAATCTATGACTGGGTACAGTGTTACCCCTGGAAATGCCTACATCCCCCGTGGTCTTGGTCAGTATTTTATTTTCAAATGAGTTTTTCTGTTGCTCTGCTTCCCTGAGGCATACRTGAGTGTGGAAAATGTCAGTGAACTCTATACTGGTTTCATGTAGAGTCAGATATTTGTGTAAGATATCAGAGGTTTAATCTGTACATCCAGACTTTTTCAAAGTGGATTTGCAAATTAAGCAGGAAGTAATTTGGTCAAGCTGGAACCTCAGTCCTTATTAAAATAACACCATTCTTCATGGCACAATATGCTGGTTGGAAAATCTGACTGAAAGTTGAACTGGTGCTTTGTCTCTAGAAGTTTTGCTGAAAGAACAAAGTGTAAAAATACTGATTTTTAGAGCCGGGTAATGAAAAAATAATTATCCACAAAGAATTCTCACACAGAATCTGGGGAKAAAACAGCTATGCATTTAAGTTGTTGTATATGATTTAATTCATAAGCAGTATGTCCTGTAAAACAGAGGYAATTCTTTTTCCAAAAGAAAATGCAAAGTTTCTTTCAGACCAGAAGCACCAGTTCATATTATATTAGCTATTACAAATCTAATGAATATGTCTTTATTTCTTTCTCGGGCCTTCTGATGTCTATTCTTCAATTCTCTCATCTCTGATCTTCAACCTTTGACCTCACCTGCCTGATCAGATGGTGTTTCCTAAAATCAATCATGGGTTTCTCTCTGCTGATCAGCAGCTCATTAAACGCCGCCTCATTAAGGTAGTGCTTCATCTCACTGGAGTCTGGTTCTTCTTTACATTCAGTTTACTCTTTACTGTACCTTTTTTTTCAGATGCCTTCTAATAGCAGGTTGTTCATTTGAAAATGCTTTGAAACGAAGTAACTGTTAATTATATCACCAGTTAAAAGGCCATGGGTGGCTGCGCTAAGTGATCCACGTTTGAGATGCCAGCAGCTTTCAGTGATGTGCTGGAAGTAGCTAAGGCACCAATTTTGGGTATCTTTTCTTTTTTTAGAGGGAAAGGTAATATGTCTGACAGCTCTTTTTGGTTTTTTTGGTTTTTTTTTTTTACAAATTAATCAGAAAAATGAAGAAAGTTAGCTAATTGTCACTATAAAACAGCCTCCCAAAACAGATGGAAAATTACAAACAACTTCATCAAAACCCAGCTATTTTCCATGCTTGTTTTTGAAATCTATCCATCATTCATGGGTTGGAAAATTGCTGTAAAAATCTGTATATTCTCAGATGCAACTTCCCTTTCTTGCTTCAGCTTTGTTATGATTATGCAATTCATGAAGCAAACAGATGCTTATTGAAAACAGTCACTTGCTCCGGAGAACTAGATGAGTAAAATATTTCAAGACTATCCCAAATTTTGGCATATGTGATGTGTTAAGACAAGCAGTTTAGAATCTGAGCCTTCTGCTCTGTGGCTGATGGCACCAGACAGATACAAACTGCTGGTCTTCAAGGCAAAGTGCTGTTTCCAGCATAAGCAGGGAAGAAGCCACTGGCCAGCACATGGCAGCTTCTTCCAGCCTGTCTTGCACTCTTTATGGGTGAATTGTTGTCTTTTTGTGTGGTTGATGCCTCTAAATCAAGCTTCTGACGAGTTTTTCATTTGTTTAGGGGGACCAAGGACAAGCTGGGCCCCCTGGACCTCCAGGGCCACCAGGACCCAGAGGTCCCCCGGGAGATACCGGCAAAGATGGYCCTCGTGGGATGCCTGGCTTAACGGTGAGTTGCTCTGTTGCTGCCACGGTGACCAAATTTCTCTCAAGCGTGTGCCAGCATCATTTCAAAGACGTTTTCTGAGGTAAGGTTGGCAAGTCAGAYGTGCAGAAGCTGAACCACAGGCAGATTTCATGGTGTACCTGAAGTCCCACACACAGAGGACAAGGGTATGGCAGGGCCAGAAGTAACACCAAGGTTCCTTGCCTCCCACCCCTGGCAGTTTCMCCACACATTCTGAGGTTTCTCAGTTGCTCACTGATGTTTAATAGCTGTGTGAGGAGAGTCTGCCCCCTCTCCACAAGTCTTAAATGTTTCYATTCAAAGTTCAAGATAAAGCTGAATTTGAGACCTCATAGCATGGATGGGCTTGACTTCTCACTTCTTAATGGTTTAACCTCAAAAGTCATGGAATAAAGTAATAAACTGCAAAAGATGCCCAAGCTATGGTGAAGTTTGGAGTTAGATTCTGTCTTTAAAAACTGTTTTCTTTGACTCAGTCCCCATATTTCATTAGGACAAGCGGCAGAATCCAGTATATTTTGTATTGTTTGTTTTAGGTACAGGATCCACCCCGCCCTTTTTAAACCGACTTTGTAGCAAAGTATGTGTTTGATTTTGGTTTTATATTTTCTGGCCTCCTTAATTTTTATTCATTTGAAAGAAGTATCTGTCTTTTCACTATGAATGCTACTGTGTTATCAGTGTGGAAATGGAATCACAGATGGGAGGGAGACAGGAAAACTGAAATGGCGCATGTACAGATGCACACACACCTCACATCCATGACAAGTAAAGATTATAGCCAAGAAGACACCAGCAAGATGAGGACCAGCACTGGAAACAGAAACTGGTTTCTTAAAGAAAAAGCATAGCTTGTTAATGAGGCCAGGACAGRAAGGCATAAATTTGTCCTGCAGTGCCTTTTTAGGTAAAACCAAGAAAGAAATAGCTACACTCAAGTTCTAACCCTATTCAGGTATTAACTGTCCAAATGTAGTATAGCATGATAATAGTAAGATGCTGCTAAAATTTCTTGTGAAAATTCAGCGAAGCTGGCCAGTTGAGATCTCTAGGGCTGCTGCTGTTGTTGTTTTGGTTTGGTTTTTTTACCACCTAGTGCCCTTGTAAGTTCTAGCTCAATGTTGTGAAATGACGTTAAAAATCTGTAGCTCTCATTGCAATGCTTTGCTTTGGCAACTCATTTTGCTTTGGCTACTCATTTCCTGTTAATCCTGTGGCACAGGATCCTCTGCTGGATGTCCCTTTTGTTCTTTATTGTGGTTAAATGGACTGTGGTCAGCAGAGTTGCTGCTGGTTTGATCTAGTAAGGGCAAGAGTTAGACCAGAATCCATTTCTGACTGCAGCAATAGCATTTTAGTAATTCACATACATGGGGCTGGCACAATCAGCTGGCCTTGCTGATTACAGTGTGGCTGCATGTTGTTTTGTGCTTTTTAGCAAAAGGATCATTAGTGTTTCTCCTAACAGGAGAGTAATGCATTTTATGCAATGAGGTCATTCCATTTTATAATAGTTTTGTAGTGGTTTTGACTTTAGATGGCAAGAGAGAGTTTCTTTTTATAGTTTTTAATCTGTGGCTATCTTAAGCYCTATAACATTATGGGAAATCAGTTCATAATACTGCTTTAGAATCAGATACAAACAAGCACTCGGGTAGAAACCATCCAGTTTGCTGCCCGCCCCTCGCTACTGTTCTGTATCCTCTGGTTAATGTTCCTGATCCTCAGAAGCCTTGTTCTTCCATGGCTGTCGATACACAGTGAGATAGGAGAGCTATGAAGGGGCAGTTTAGCTGAGAGGTAAGGATAGCTTTGTCTTTGAGGTAAAGACTTGCGTGGACTTTGAGCTAGTGAGCTGAAAACAGAAGCCAGACTGAGCTGTGAGTTGGGGCTACAGGAGGATGTCCTTACAGTGACCAACTGYAGACATTGCCTCTTTTGCAGGGTTGGACAAAGCGGGGCTTCTCTCCCAGCCTGTCCTTCTCAAGCAGGAAGGTTAACAATTGCCACAGCTGTAAGATGGTGTTTTGGGGCAGTGGACAGTCAGAAACCTGTGCCTTCATGGCTTCTTTCTCACAGCTCTCTTGGTGTGTTTGCACATGCTGCATTTGCTGCTGAATGCAGTGCACAGATACMCAGAGAAGCAGCTCTGATTCTTTTCAGTTGCCAACAACAACGACACCAGAACACTTCTCATCAATTTTATGACAGACTTTCTTTTATGACAATGCTGCTAAAGAATACCTTGCAGCTGTGCTGATACGATAGTGCCCTATGCTCAGTTGGGTCTTCAAGGGAGTGATATATAAACCAGACCCCTAAAATGATTGGAGCTGTGTTTTTTTTGGATGGGTACTTTTAGCCCATATTGTATGACTGGTGTGTTTTACTGTCTCTACAGACAGATAGATGTATGGATTCATATGGGAAGAAGATAGATTCTGACTTTATGTAGAGCTGTGCCCACAGAGAGAGAATACATTGAAAAATGATGGGTTACCATTTTGAAAGCCAATCCAGGTATTGAACAGCTGAGTAATTATTGCATGGCTTCAAAATACTCATGGTTTTATGGATYATGGTAATTGACAACGGTAAGTTGTGTCTGCTGATTGAGGTGATGGCACAGAGCAGTAATCTTGGKATTCAGCACATATGTGAAAATAACCTTTCTCTGTGTCCTTTAGCACCATGAGATGGAATATTATATTTTAAACCAAAGGACAGAGTCAGAACACCAATACGTAACTCTTGCCTTGAGAACTCTACCATCACATGATTGAGAAGCAGCACTCCTTAAGATGTCTGTGATTTGGACTACTGGGTTAAAAAGCAAAGAAATTATATGTTTAATGTGCAGTCAGCTGCCATACCTGTTTAGGAATGAAATTTTTAAGATACTTTATTAGTAGATAAAAAGCAGGATTCAACACATGTTGCTGAAATTATTCTCTCCTTTTTTTGTTCAAAGGGTGAGCCAGGAAAACCAGGAGAACAAGGATTGACAGTAAGTATTCTTCCAGTTTGCTAAGAAAGCGTAACATGACAGTACACCTTTTAAAATAGGAAATTCCAAAAAGCTTTATATCTSTGTATTTCTTAGCCTTCCTTTGTCACAGGCTATTTGAAGCCTTGAAGAAAACACAAGGAAGAAGATATCCTCTSTTTAAATACAGTCCCCTGTCACATAAGGCCAACTTCTTTAAGCTTGCAGAACCAGAGGGAAATAAACAGCTAAGGGCACACCAAAACAAAGRAGAACCAAGCCAGGGGTTCCCAGTTCCTGCCCTACTCTTAAGACTGTCTCGAAATTGAGTTGTTTCTACCTTGAGACCTTTGAGCAGAACAGGAACCACCTACTTGTTTTATGGGCCAAAATTCAAGCTGTCTCTGTGACGAGACAGAACCGTGAAGATACAGCACTGAAACTCTCAGTATGTTCTCCTCTTCTGAGGTTTCAGGTTTTTTTCCTCTGTGTGTGTCAAATATTTCCTGTTCATTTGGAAGTAAATTGAAGCTCCACTGGTWGTAAATCAGCTTTAGCCACAGGTTAAGGAATCATAAGTTTCTGCCTGTCACATATTCCCAGAACTGTGAAACATGCGGTGATTTTTCTCCTTTAAGATCTCCCTAAACACTCACAGTCATTTTTATTTTTATGAGAGATGACAGATTGTTGCCCGTGGCATGTGGTTTTGATTCCTTAAYGCTTCTGAGGAGGAAGATTATCAGTAATAATCCACTCAGCAATCAGTGCAAATATGATTGCTACCTGAATTTGTGAAGATTTAAACAGGTGTGATGATATTTTACCTTGACAAATTGCAAAACGTTTTCAATTGACAAAATCCAGTACCTTTTGAAAGAAAAAAACTAAGATTCTGAGACTCGGACATATCTGCTGTGATCAGGTAGTTAAAGTCCTGTGCTTTTTCATTTTGCAATAAAGGTTTATCAATTTCAGAATCAAAGCCTCCCAAAGGTTTTGGGAGATACATTTTCATGTTTTATCATGCTACTGGGCTCTTTTTTACTCTCTGGGCCTGTGAAGAATAGATGCAATGCCTAGGAAGGGAGCTTTTTTGGTTTGGTTTCTTKTATTTGGAATATTCTCCTATTCRACCTCTGGACAGAACTCAGTCAGGTTCTGCAACAGTGTCTTCTTTCTATTTAAGACCAGATCTGCAGAGTCACAGGATCCCTGAGGGCTTTTAATCCATCACATTTTAGACCCCATGTTCAGATCATTCCCATTGCTCTAATGTAACCATCTGAGTGTAAGAACTAAAAAACTGCTACTACTCTTTCTCTAAATGCAGATGTGTTTAGATAAGAAGAAAAGGTGTTTAAAAATCAAATCAGCAAGCTTGAGYTGAAGAAAGATCCCAGGTTACATGAATTTCCAGTTCCTAATGTCTGCTTGAAGAGTCAGTCAGGCAGCTTAAATGTTAGGTTGTGTATAGATCAAGCAAAGAGCATCAGAGTATCAGGGAGGTAATTAGTTTCTTTTTATTCTTCTTGGTGCTTCTGACATACTCTTTATGCCACTACAGATTTACAGATTCTCTTCCCTGTGGAAAATGTTACAATTATTCAGGTGCTGTCTGGCTGCTTCTGACAACTTCCATCACGCATTTYATGAATTTGCATATTGGAAATTCAGACACTGCTGCCTGAATAGCTGATTTTCCAACATGTATGTTGTAAAATTGCATTGCTAGAAAAAGACAGGTGGTATGTGGTGAGGAGCACAGGCCTTTTTCTGCCTGAGTTTCTTTTTGTGCATTTTTCACCTATTTCAAAGTAAAGGAAAGTGGAGATCTCTGCCCAGAGGAGCTTCTGGGTTAATTCTGCAGGAATTCTTTTGTAAGAACTTGCCTTTGTTTCTCAGCAAGAGTCTCCAGTCTGAGTTAGCTTGCTGTTTTTCTCTGCAGTGAAACTGAAACTGGGAATCCAATGAGTTCCATAAAGTAATACCAGTTCTGGTCTCTCAAAAGTCCATATTTGGAATGTTGCTGTGGTTTCCTACCTGCCCACACATCCAAGRCCCTTTCCAGTAAGGAGCAAGTACTGTGATGTATATAGTGATTCTTSCTGTGGGATGGAGGCAGGATGCAGCCAAGAGGAGCACCAAATGCTCTGAAAGAATCCTTGCAGTTTGGGTGCACAGGCTGAAAATTGTGGAAGACGAAGACTGTTTATAGCTCATAGGGTCACACTCTCTGCAGCTTTAAATCCCATGGTGCCATCCAAGTTGAGGAGAATAGCAAGCTTGACCTCTGGATTATGATAATCAGGGCAGAACATTTTTCACTTTTAAAAGCATTTTTTGCATCTGTATTTGGTAACRTGCCCTGGTATTTGTAGATGAATGTACATATTATTGATAGAGCAGGSAAACAGCATAATCTGTGAACCAACAATGGCATGGTTTGAAATTACTTAGTTTTTTATTTTCCCACAACAAGGGTAATAAATTTCTTGAAAAGTGCAAGATRTGGCAAGAGAAATAGGTAGCAGTGTTTTCCAGCTTGTTCCTCAGGATGTGCTACAAGCCTGTGACACACACTGAGGAACATGTGACCGACTGTGTGAATCCACAGGTACAGGTAACCAGGGCAACCACGAAGATGCGGCCGAAATGCAAAGAGTAGATTTATTTCCTTACCTTGCTAACAACCCTGGGTGGCTGAGACACACAGGAGTAYGGGCTCTGTTAGGCTGGGTTCATCCTAGCACACAGCAGYGSTGGGGTGGGGCTGCTSCTGGCCCCAGTGTATCAAAGGTTTYCTGCAGGAGCAGTTTATCACAAGGCTGTGCTTCTGTGATCACTCTCTGTCASAGCAGACGGCTCAAACATGTCTGTGAGAGTGTGTTCTCTCCACASAGAAATTCTGCTTCTCAAAACAGTAGACATAATAACTGGAGATGCCCACACCAAAAATCTTAGTCTTTAGCTGSAGGGTCACTTTGAGTGAAATTATTCYCTCCTTGYCAAATTTGGTGKGTTTAACCATTTCTTCCCAGCAYCTGCTCAAGCARTGTGTGCCYTGATTTAMAGAAAGTTGAAATTATTTTAATGCKTTTGGAATYCWGGGAACATTTATGTTCTCCTTTCCTCAAAATAGGAAATCCAGTGACTCTAGTGAAAAGATGGCAATTTGTTTCAACTGAGAATCTGCTGCCATGTTTTTCTTCATATTTAATGAAGTTCTTTCCTAGTAAATAAGAAGAAAATAATGTTTCAGGGTGTTGTTGTAAGGGAGTAATGACCTTTCTCCTTCTCAGGCAGGAGAGGTTTGCTTGGACCATATACAGACAATAACAGTGTTTGAGTTCTCTGACATGAATTCTGCTTTGGCGCAAGAGAGTTCAAGACAAGGAATGGCCTTTCTTTTTCTCATTTTCTAGTGTAAAAAAGGAGTGGTTTATAGCATGGTGGTGAGACAATTTAGGATGTGGAGATTTAGTTGTTTCTTGCAGGAGTCTCTCATTCTCTGTTTAAAATCATTCCAGGCTGTCTGAGCGCCTGTGTGCTTCTTTTGCTCATCCATCCTTGGGGTTGAGATGTTTGGGAGACCAAGGGATTTTTTTGGTTCCTTATGTTGCTGTGTCAGGAAGAATGTGTTTTCTCTTTGACCCAAGAAATTTTGATTTCTTTTTAGGTGAGGTGGGGTTTAAGTTATAAAGCCGTGACTGCATGCATCTTTAATGTTAGAAGAGAATGGAAGAGTGACGAGTTAGTGTCTGGTTTCCATGGCACTTGAAAGCCCTGCAGAGGTAGTTTCTTCAAGAGTTGAAGGTATCATTCCTCTGTGCAGAAAGGATTAAGAGAATTCAGAGCGAGGCCAAGCAGTGGGGTGACCAAAKGGATTAAGTTTTGAAATATTATGTGAAACTAGGAAAAGGTATGCTACTCAAGAGAGAAGGGCAGTAGTTTCTGTAGCTTTTCAACCTTTTTACTTGAAGTTGTGTTCTGTTTCTCATAATTCATCCTGCTTTCCATGCCTTTTGTCTGCAGTTCTTGGTGATAAGGACTCTTAAATACCATACAAGAGTTTTTCCAGTTTATCTTCTCGCTTTCAGAGTGAATAATAGATGGATTTGTGATTCTTTTCTACCCWAGAGTTAGGATTTCTTCAGACTATTCATGAGAACTTAGAGTCAGTRATGGAAAATATTAAAGGCTGACACAGATAAATACAGATAAATCTGTATTTTCAGATTCATAAACTGAAGTGGTATAGAAGGTGTGCATGGGATATTTTGTTCCTAATTTCCATGTGGGAGGTTWATTTTGTTATCTTATGAGTAAAGTATTTTAAACTAGTTCATATTCATAAAAATTTGGAATATTAAAATCTGCTATGTTTTAGCTYCTTTTTTCAGAACTAAATTTAAGCATGTTCAGTGTACAAATCAACCACTTCTTGTCAGTGAAAGAAAACGACTATRTATTATTTTCTTCCCCTAAATTGGCTTTAAAGACAGATAAGTAATTTTGCAGATGTTTTACATGACTAGAGCACTTCAGAATGACCAGAGAACTCAGGTAAAGGTGTCTTTTTGCAAAAGAAATCTATACTATAATGATTAACCCAAATGCGAAATCCCTCTGCTTTAAGACACTGTGTTTTCCAAAGTAGTACATTTGTGCTAATGCAGACTTGCTGGGCTTGTGTTCAAGAAAATAAAACGTAATGTTRCTGCTTTTACAGGTTATTCAGAAAAAGGAAGATGTTCTTCCAAAGGATATAGCCGTATTTATGACAGATGGTAGAAAAGTGTAACCTTGCAGTTAAGTCTGCAAAATGTCACATCTTTAAAATTAATTATTTTTCATCTTAGGTTAAAATGAACTCACAGGGACCAGGCAGGATTGTCTGGGAAGTGCTGCTGGTTTCAATTCAGCCTTTCAGGCCAGTGGTCCAGACCAATTTCTCAGCTGCTATGAATCTTCATAGCCCCTCTGGGAAGCTACTAATTGTGAYTTTGTTTTCAATGGCC